CAGAATCTCTTTTTCAAGAGAGACCTGGCCAAGGTAGCAGCCAAACCACAGGAAGTTCATACATATTTACAACATATTACATTTTTCATAATAAAAAATAAAAATAAATAAATAAATAGAAAATAAAATAAAATCAGAGCAGTATGTTAAAACACATTGAGCATCTCAAGAAATATGTTCAGAAATATAGTAGCCAAGGACAGGAGTTTTGTGTCCTCTGGATCTCTAAAAGTTTAAAATCCCTGCATCATAGACCCATTTTAAAATGTGTTACTTGTGCATCTCAACAATCCTGATACGTTCAAAGACAGAAAGCATTTTTTCCCCTTTCGCTCTGGTGAGCTTAAATGCTATTTTCCAACAATTTTCCAACAATTTGTTCTGTTACCATGCTGCCATTTCTTTATTGTTGTGTTTCTTTAAGAGCTTTATTTACAGTACAACCTGTTTCAGGAACTGAAAATCCAAATTCCAACCGTTTAACTTCTCTTTCATTTTATTCTAATGTAATTTAGTGGGAAAAGCCCAGAATTTCTAGTCATCCAAATGTAGTTACGACAGCAAATATCTCATTCCTGCCCCCCTTCTCCTCCTTCAAGGATAAATCTAAATGCTTTTGTTGAAATCTTTATGGACAGTTCTTCTGTGGAACAAGTCAAATTTTTCCTTGTCAGTAAATGAGCCGAAAGGCAGAGTCAATCCATCGGAGCATAGTGACCCAGATGGATCAATTTTGTGTTTGGAAGATAATAACTTCAGTTCCAAGGCAACAAAAACCAGTCTGATTATTAAAAAAAAACATTTTCAAAATGCTTTTCAGGAGACTCTTCCTCTTTATCTACCTCCTTATCCTTTGTTTATGGGTAAGGTCGATACAGAACCACAGATAAGTGCCCCTGATGAGATGTGAGCAACTTTGTCTTCATCCACAATCTTATATTGATATAATCTTAGAGAAACAGCAGGAGCTGGAAATTACACAGAAAAAGTGTTTTTTTGTTGTTGTTTTTTACACACACACTTTGATCTACTGGGTTTTAATGTGATAAGCATCCAGCAGATTCATTGTAAAAACGAAAGTTTTAAATATTTTTCCAAAACCTTTTCGTAAAGTGAAACTTAAGCAGATGCTTCGCCATTTTCTATCTAATGCTGGAGCTTTAAAAAACATCCTTGTATTAACATCTGCAGTATTCTGTTGTTACATTTACATTTCTGCAAGTGATGCTTCCTTGTTATCTTTTATGTCCTTATTAAATCACCAACCATAAAGACTTTTCTTATACAGTGGAATCCGCTTGTAGTGGTCACGGATATAGTAATCAGCCGCTTATATAGATCAAAAGACTTGGGACAAAATCATTTCTATACAAATGCTGTTTAATTTGTTTATAGTAATAGAGAAATCTGCTTATCGTGTTCATTTTGGCCATTTTATGAATGTAAACATGTGCAAAAGTAATTTAAAAATTACGTCTAGTCTTGTTATTTAATTTTTTTTAGACCCATGATTCCTTTCTGGGTGTCGGCTTCTGCCTTGCTAGCTCGGAGGTACAAGAGCGCTTTGGTACCAGTGCTGCGTGCAGTGAGGAGAGGGTGAGGAGGAGGATGAAGAAGAGGAGGCTGTTGTCTCTTCCAGAGCTGAGATGAGGAATGCAGTTTGCATTTTAAAGATTGGTCTCCTGCATGTTGGTTTCAATAACTTTGACATTTTACATCCTTTTGAAAAAGAAGTGAACTCGGTGTTGGGCAACACTCTGATCCAGGGAAACATGGATAAATATGTTAAGTGATTTCTTAATGCGGCGCAGCAGATCCGCAGCACAAAACAGAGGCAGGCTAGCTTTAATTTTCTGTAGCCTATGCAGTTATATTCTATGAAACCGTTTCTTTCAAACTTTATTTTCAGACATGTTAAAAAAATGCACCAGTGGCACAGCAGAGCCGACGCACAGAATAAGTTACATAGGCCTATTGTAGGCTTTCAGTTATGTCTGTATACTGTAATCTATCTTGCATGGTACTGTAATATAATTCAGTAAATGCGGAAGCTATCTGTTCCAATTAATTTTCTCATTGAAAAACCATACAAATGGCATTTAGATGATATTCTGCATTAAAAATGAGTGAAATAACAGTAAATTCGGTTTTAGTTATCAACCGCCTATAGTGTTCAAATTGGGTCTGGACCAACGTGATCACTATAAGCTGATTCCACTGTAGTTCTCTTTGGCTGCCAACTTATATGGTTC